AATATACCACCCAACTCGTCCTGCTTAAGAGTTACTTGTGCAGGCGATCTCAGTTGTAAATGGGATAAAATCAAAGAGTACAAATATAACTTCAGGGGTACATCAATGATCGCATTGGGGTCCCTTATTGTTATATGATGTTGACCAGTGCTTTTTACATAACTCCTTGTACGCAGAAGATCTAGAAATCGGTTCACTCGCCAGCAGACTACGCATTGTTTGCAGAGAGATTTGTCAAACTTTGAAGGATATTGTTCTCTGAACATTGTGTTTGTTAACCCTATATTTTGTTTACAAAAAACTACCACAATTGCAAATTAAAAGTGATCTCCAGAAATTGAACTTTTCGGACTGTGTAAAGGACCTGGGTATTACATTGGATTTGGAGCTTCTTTTTGAGGTGCACGTAGAAAACATTGTTCGAAAGGCTCTAAAGAGTCTTGGATTTATTCTACGCGTGACTAATAGGTTTAATAATAAAAAATATTTAATAATATTTTTTTACAGTCTTTTCATTTTTGTGAATGCTGCCCTGGCTTTTTCTATCATCTGTCCGATTGTGACTGAGTGATCCATCCCACTTGTCATTAATATTCGTCCCAAGGTAAACGTAGCTTAATGCAAGTGATTGGAGGTTGATTTATCAGTGATCTGGAAAGCTTCTGTCATATGGTATGAAAAATTGAAAGTGACGTTCTCTTCATTCAACACATTTTATTTACAATTCTCTGCGTTCTTGATAACGACCGCTAGATCTCGATAATAATAATATTATTATTATTATTAATAATTAACGATAGATAGGGTTGGGCTGATTTAAATCACGATTGGAATCATGATTTAAATAAAGCTCCTATTTTTTAAAATCTGTTTTTATTGAGACCAACACAAAAAGCACAGCGTATAAATATTGTCGCAAATAAAAAGTAAAGCACAACTTAAAAAAAAATTAAGACAAATATGCCTCTGCATTTTCGTTGTTAGCTGCGCCACAAAAGATTCCGCCTCGCAGTAATATTGTGATTTACATGAAGAAATTGGTCACTAACTACATTAGTCAAATATTGTTTAGAGTGACTAATATTGTGTAAATGCTCCAAAAAAAAACAATGAAGTATATATTCTAGCAAAATTTAAGAAAAAAATCAATTAAAATTAAAAAAAACATGATTTTCGATTTTTTAAATAAAAATCAAAGTTTGCCCGACACGCATGCTAACTAGTTACTCTTTAGAAGCCGAGACGGGGCGGGCAATCTCATACTAATTCATGTGCCGTTGCCTTTGTTCCGGATACCTTTTAAAATAACTAGCTGACATACTTGGTGTCGATTGACATTTGGCAATTAAGTTTTAATATGAAACTCTAAAAACCAATATTTGTAAAAACTCGTCCTAAATAGATATCAAACTCAGAAATCGGGGGAGCAGCTCCAGTGCGTTAAGTTATGTATTACGCCTAGAGTATGAAATGTATCAATTTTTCAGTATCAATAATTTTTTTTATTAGCGGCTGGGAGAGATTTTTTGAAAATAAATTGGCAACGGGCGATTCCGCGCACCCACGGACACTCAAAAATAATAAACGAGTAGCGAAACGTCCAGAAAGAAATACGCGACGTTTACGTTGCAAATGATACGAGTCTATTAGGGCGTATAGGAAACGCTGTCGGGCTTATATCGATATAGAAATCACTGAAAGAGATTTTCTTTGTCTCCGATTCTTTCAGACTGAAAATCATGAAGCAAAACAATGGTCGAATCATTTTTTTCTAAATAATCGGAGTTAAAGTCAAACTTATTTGCCCACATGGTCTGGGTCGAACGTGTTGTGAGCATTCAAATAAATAAATAGCAAAAATCTAATATTGAAACATTATTGTTCGATGTTTTAAAACACAAAGTACTCAGGAAAAGAGAACATAGAATAACCGTTTTGGTCTTGTTTATGTTTCGAGCGCTAAACCCCTGAGGTAAACCGTTTGTTACACACTGCTGCGAACCGAAAAGTACCAACTGCTATGGTGTGTAAGACAGATAGTTTCTTAGGACCAAACACACTTCGGTCTATGGTCCTCGCGAGCTTCTGGAGCAAACCATATGTACCTCTTAGCATTAAAGAAAACGTCTACAGATACTTTTTAGAATAGGACCTCAAAAAAATCCGTTCCTAGGAGAGCATCGCTCTCTACTTTTAAGAATCGGCACCTCATTAACATAACGCATTAACTTTAAGCAACAGGTCCCACAATGGCCCACGTCTCTTTAATATATTTGTCAATTCATGTTTCACATTCTGAGAATTTTTTTTGTTTGCTGATGACTTAAAGCTCTTAAATGTATGCGTTCTTATTTAGAACATTAGGATAGCTTAAAAAGATTTATACTGTGGCGCAACAAACGCAAAGTCATGATGCTTATTTATCTAGTGGGGGTTCTCAGTTTAATTTGAACTATTGCAGCCTGTGGAATCCATAACAGACTTTGGAGTTAATTTAAACTGCGAGCCATCCTTTTCTGACCACATATAATAAAAAAAGTCCCTTATGGTATACATGATATATTCTTAAAAGGAACACCAGATGTTTCTCTTTCGTTTAGATAGTAAAATCTCTTTATTGTACACTTTATTGTATACTTGATAGAAAGAAAAGAAATGTCGCCGATATTGACGGAAACATGATAGGCAAATATCTACGCTTGAGTGACTTTTTATCGAGGTTTCCAAAAACCTACTTGCCTATAATAGCGCCGAGTTTTTCTACACACATCCTTTCCTTGCACTGAGCATATAGTGCTCCCTTATGATTCTGCCCTTTTCTAAAAATATTTTGTAGCATCTATAAACTGCTTACGGTAGCAGATTTACTTGTGATAGCAAACTGATTTTTTATTTGCCGTCCGTTTTGCACGCTGCTAAATGTCCAGTGATGCGATGGATAAAAGGCGATCATTTATGATTCTGTCCTTTTTTGATCCATCTTTATGGCATCTATAATCTACTTATGGTAGCAGATTTGCTTATTGCAGCAAATTGACTTCTTTGCCTTATCTATGCTTATGGTAGCAGTTTTTTGCTTATGGAAGCAAATATGTTCGCAAATGCCCAGTGATACAACGGACAAAGGTGGTTATTTATAATTTTGACCTTTTTTGAACCTGGCGAGAAGGATCACCCGCATCTATAATCTGCTTACGGTAGCAGATTTGCTTATGTCAGCAAATTGACTTTTTGGCCTTATCTCTGCTTATGGTAGCAGTTTTATGCTTTTGTCCAAGCAAGCAAATGTCCAGTGATGCGGTGGATAAAAGGCGGTCATGTCCTTTTTTGATCCATCTTTATGGCAAGAAGGATCACCGGCATTTATAGGCTGCTTATGGTATTAAATTACCTTTTTTGCCTTACCTCTGCTTATGGTAGCAGTTTTTTGATGGCATTGAAGCAAATATTGTAGCAAATGTCCAGTGATGCGATGGATAAAAGGCGGTCATTTATGATTCTGTCCTTTTTTTATCCATCTTTATGACAAGAAGGATCACCGGCATTTATAAGCTGCTTATGGTACTAAATTGACTTTTTTGCCTTACCTCTGCTTATGGTAGCAGTTTTTTGCTCATTGAAGCAAATATTGTAGGAAATGTCCAGTGATGCGATGGATAAAAGGCGGTCATTTATGATTCTGTCCTTTTTTGATCCATCTTTATGACAAGAAGGATCACCGGCATTTATAGGCTGCTTATGGTATTAAATTGCCTTTTTTGCCTTACCTCTGCTTATGGTAGCAGTTTTTTGCTCATTGAAGCAAATATTGTAGGAAATGTCCAGTGATGCGATGGATAAAAGGCGGTCATTTATGATTCTGTCCTTTTTTGATCCATCTTTATGACAAGAAGGATCACCGGCATTTATAGGCTGCTTATGGTATTAAATTGCCTTTTTTGCCTTACCTCTGCTTATGGTAGCAGTTTTTTGCTCATTGAAGCAAATATTGTAGGAAATGTCCAGTGATGCGATGGATAAAAGGCGGTCATTTATGATTCTGTCCTTTTTTGATCCATCTTTATGACAAGAAGGATCACCGGCATTTATAGGCTGCTTATGGTCTTAAATTGCCTTTTTTGCCTTACCTCTGCTTATGGTAGCAGTTTTTTGCTCATTGAAGCAAATATTGTAGGAAATGTCCAGTGATGCGATGGATAAAAGGCGGTCATTTATGATTCTGTCCTTTTTTGATCCATCTTTATGACAAGAAGGATCACCGGCATTTATAGGCTGCTTATGGTATTAAATTGCCTTTTTTGCCTTACCTCTGCTTATGGTAGCAGTTTTTTGCTCATTGAAGCAAATATTGTAGGAAATGTCCAGTGATGCGATGGATAAAAGGCGGTCATTTATGATTCTGTCCTTTTTTGATCCATCTTTATGACAAGAAGGATCACCGGCATTTATAGGCTGCTTATGGTATTAAATTGCCTTTTTTGCCTTACCTCTGCTTATGGTAGCAGTTTTTTGCTCATTGAAGCAAATATTGTAGGAAATGTCCAGTGATGCGATGGATAAAAGGCGGTCATTTACGAGTCTGTCCTTTTTTGATCCTTCTTTATGGCAAACTATAAGCTGCTTGCGGTAGCAGATTTTTGCTTATGGATGCAAATATGGTGGCAAATGCCCAATGATGCGATGGATAAAATTTATGATTCTGTCCTTTTTTGATCCATCTTTATATAAAATACATGATAGAGAGCTGGACTGCGTCGTTTCAATTTTAACGCAAATTGGTTTACATGCTTCGTGCACAGTCTAATCAAATATTGTAGCTCTGGTTCGTTTCGTTTCAGCTCATTTAATCCGCGTTTTGCTTATGCCCTCGCGTTGATAATATTTTTAGCGTAATCTTCTTTTACATCTTGTAGAATATTAAGTTTAGCATAAGTATCTTGTAGTTACAGATTTGTATTTGCTTTAGTGTTAATAACAACGAAGGCTAAAGCTGAACGTACCTGGTGAACTTTCCGACCGCGGCGGCATCGTCGTGTTCGACGCCGGACGACCTGGCCGGGTCCCCGTTACTCTTCCTCCCTTCGCCGCCGACGCTTCCCGCGCACCTCCCCGCGCCAATGCTACTACCGCGGTTCAATTTACGGTGCAATTGATGCAAATTATCCCTGCCGGTCCGTCCCTTTAAATTTAAAGTCCTGCGGCACCAAATCCGGCCGACGCGCTGGCCGACGCCGTTCGAAAATCGTCTCGACTTCGCGCCCGCCCTCAAAATAACATTATTATGGTGGTGAAGGTGACCCCTTGGACGGGTCCTCGCTACCCGGTTGCCGTTTACCACTTCCATTCCGAAAAAAAAAAAAAATCGAGTCTAAGCGCGACACTCTTCGGGATGTCCGACGGGACGCCGGCACGTGGCGCGCCCCATCGTCGTCATTCCGCCCCCGCGGTGATACCCCTCCGCGCTCGGTCCGTCAAAAAAAAAAAAAACAATCGAACGTCGTCACGACGTGAAACGAAAGAACAACGCGAAGTTCGTGCACGCGGCGGCGCCTACTTGATCTCGTCGACGACGCGAACGACTGAGCCCCGGCGGACATTTTTGCCTTTGCCCCCCCCACCCCACGCGGCCGCTTTCTGCTTCTTTGCCGTGCGCGCCGACCGTGCCGACGACGGCGTCGGTCGACGTCACGCCGCCGCCGCCTCGCGGGCGATGTATATAATATTTTAAAAATAAATTATTTAATTGAACCTGAATCGCATCGATTGGAAAAAGAATTTACGTGCAAAAAGTGCAAACATTATTATTTATTTATTATGCGTCTCTGGATTTGATGCTTTTTTCTTGAATTAATGAACCGATTTTTTTACCTTGTGTAATTCTTTGATTGATTTTGAATTTAATTTTAAAAACAGGAATTTCATCATTCGCGGAAAGATATTTTAAGTAATATGCCAATATCCTCCAAATAATATTTAAAAAGTTTAATTATAAATATAGCGAATTTAAGAGAAACACGACATTTTTAAAACGGTACAGTGGCGCACATATCCTCTACGAGCGCCAGTGGTCAGCTTCGACGACAAAAGTTACTATAGTTAATATAATATTCTTCCCTTTGCCTAGCAATGGGATTCGATTTTTTTTTCGTGTTTTAAATTGCGGAACCAAAAATACGGGCCATCATCCTTCACCTCAAACGACCCGTCGTCTCGTCGTTTTTGATTTATCTAATTACGATTAAGTTTTGCGATTAACAAAACGATCTCCCGCGTCCCCGCCGAAGCGTTGCGCGGAGGTCGAGCACTTGACATCGGTTACCGTAAGCATCGAGACTAGACGTACGAGGCGCGAGCATTTCGCGTACATTTTCAACTCGCTTCGATTTAGACAACCGAACCTTAATAATAATAATAATAATAATAATAACAATAATATTTTTTTTTCCGTAGCGTCACAACCCTTCGTGGGTCTTAGCTGCATCTACGACTCGTCTCCATCTGTCCCTGTCCAACACAACCTCCTTCCAGTTCCAAGATTTTTACATCCTCTTCGATATTGTCCCTCCATCTGAGCCTTGGTCTTCCTAAGGGTCTCTTTCCTGCTGGGTTTTCTTCCCATATCCTCTTTACAAGACGTTCATTCGGCGATCTCTGCACGTTTCCAGCCCACCTGAGCCTTTGTGCTTTTATTTCGTTTACTAAACTCGGTCTTTTGGACATGTCGTTAAGCTCCGCATTCGTTCTTATTCGATATTGACCCGTTCTCTCATCTATTGTTGGTCCAAAGATTTTCCGCAACATCCTTCGTTCAAAGCGTCTTAACACTAGTTCGTTCTGCTTTGTCATTGTCCATGTTTCCGAGCCATACATTACGATTGGCTTGATTACTGCCGAATATATCCGTAGTTTTGAGTTCCTAGATATCAGTCGGGACTTAAACAGGTTCTGCAAGGCGAAAAAACATTTATTGCCCTTTTGTATTCTTGCTTTTATTTCGCTGGTGATATCGTTATCCGAAGTTATAACTGCTCCTAGGTACTGAAATTGGTTTACGCATTCAAAATTGTGGGTGTCCATGGTTATGTTCTGTCCTATTCTGCCCCTTCCTGCTCTCCGTCCGGCCCACATATATTTGGTCTTGTCCTCGTTGATCATGAGTCCTACCTTCTTGGTCTCCTTCTCTATGTTCATGAACATTTCTTTTGTTTTAATCGTACTGCTTCCTACCGTATCAATGTCATCGGCATATGCCAAAATCATTTCTGGGCCCTTATTTGTAAATATTTCCAAGCCAATATTCGCTTCTTTGATGGCCATGTCCAGCACTATGTTGAAAAGCAATGGTGAAAGTCCATCGCCCTGTTTTAGGCCATTGTTAATGGACAAAGCCTCGGTGTTGTTCTTTCCTACCCTAACTTTGGCTTTAGAGTTTTCTATGCATATCTTGGTTAGCCTTATGATCTTTTTTGGTACCTCTATGCCTTCCAACGCTTGCCAGACACTTTCCCTGGTGATGCTATCATATGCTTGGCGGAAATCTACGAACAGTTGGTGAACCTCTCTGTTAAACTCCCAGCTTTTCTCTAGGAGCTGTCTTATGGTGAATATTTGATCTGTTGTTGATCTCTTGGGTCGAAACCCGCATTGGTAGTCCCCTAAGTTGTCTTCTGCGTATGGGGATATGCGTCCTCTTAGTACATTTGACAGAACCTTGTATGTTATATTTAGCAGGGTTATTCCTCTATAGTTTTTACAGGCCATCCGGTCTCCTTTCTTATGAATGGGGACGATGGTACCCTCATTCCACTCAACAATAATAATAATAATAGTAATAATATAACTTTAATAACTAGTCAACTATATTCACTCCAGCAAAGTAATAGTGAAACATTGGACTGTCCATTGTAGGATTTCAGATTTACTGTGAGCGAATAAGTCGAAAAACGTAAATATTATTACAGAAGTCATTCAATAATTTCATCAAAAATGTGGTTCTTGGAGTTACTAGGTAAAATACAGGAACAATAAAGTTCAGCTGGCTCAGCAACTCAAGGCAATCCAAATGAATTGCAAAGAAGCGTACTCTAGTTTCGAGCGCACATAAATGTAGCATAACAGTTTTAAAGTATGTTCACTTGCGAAATCTCTATGAATCCCAGCATTTTGAGTGCACCTACCTCTACGGGCTTTATCGACGAGATTTTTGAAGGAGAGCTCTGTGTCAAACAAACACCCAGGTCTTTAAAATTGTCACAGATGGTATTCAGGGGTAGGTTATTAGAACCACACTATAAATTATTCTAAACAATTTTACATCATCAGCAAAGAGCAAAATTTGACTATCAATGTTAGCTAGTATATCATTAACAAAAAGCAAGAATGTCAATGGTGCTAAATTGCTACCCTCGGGAACGCCGCTACTAGCCATGAATCTAAGCGATGAGTGACCAAATCAATCTCAATCGTCAATGTCAACGTCATCGTTTTCTCAAACCACAGCATCAGTTGAGGTAATTAAATTAGTCTGTTAGTCATAAAGTCATGATTTCAGCTGATTTTTTTAATTTTCCCATTTATATAGCTGCGTGGGTAAAAAAAATTAAAATGGGAAGATTTCATCAGTTTTTTAAGCATCTATTTATTTTAAACGAAATTAAACAGAACTATTTATTATTGGGATGTATGTTTTAAGGTCAACAACAATCTCCAATGTTTTAATATTATTTATAATCATCATTATATCGTTTTGTAACTATAATTTGGGAATAATTGCAAAACAAGTCTATTGAGGGACTTTACTTATATTATTGCCTTTCATCAACGGAGTCATAAAATATACTTTGAATTCATCTCTAACTTGTTTTTGACACCGAAACAATAAGGACAATTCCAATGCGCGTCAAATTTGTCAGCGAGTTTTACCCACAGTTGTTCTTCTACGTTAAAGTACAGTCAGAGGCAATAGCGCCCGACGTTGACGGACAAGCGCAAAACAATAAGGACAAAAAAAAAGGACCAAATGTCACCAAATAAATGTGCCGATTATAAACTTTTCAAAAGTACGTTAGGGACGCTTCAGAAGCTTCTGGACGACTATGACCGATTTGGATAATATATCGTAACGGAGTTTACCTAATTTGCGAACTATTTTTTATAAAAGACTTCTAAAGAGTGAAATTTGGTAATGATGAAGAGGAGGTACAGAGCAAGGAAGTAGTTTTCGGTCACCGTTGGTACTTACATTGACTAAAGAAATTGCATTAAATTTATTTACGAAGAAAATGCTTTTGTCTACTTACCTGAGATGTAGTGACTTTTGTGATTTGTAAATTTTATTAATTTTAGGGCAAAACGAAATATGCATTGGCAAGTGTCTTGGATTTGCAAGCTTTGTATTTTTGAGGAATTGTTACGGTTACTGCAATGGATTGGTTTCAAACAGATTTTCTTAACAGTTCTAAATCTAAAATCAGAAGTAAACAAAGTAAAAGTCTAATCATGTCTCATGTGGACCCAAGTTTTCAACTCGTATATCTCTTGGAGCTGAGGGAATTTTTGTAATACGATCTAGTTAATATATTCATCAATTTTGATTTTATGGTTCAATTTATGTCCCGAAAATATCTTTATGTTATGTTGTTTGGCCACTGCAACATAAGACAATAAGACAATTTAATGAAAGTAAGGTTAACGTGTTGGTCACCGACCAACCGACATTCGTAAACCACTTTTTTTTTAACCAATACTATAAAAAACGCGCGACATCGTGTTTTTTTTTTAAATTTTTTGCATGTTTGAGATTTTCTGGAATCGAGTATTATATTGAATACCAGGAACCGAGTACTTATCAGTTTACTTTTTACAAAACATCTGGATTCCTCCTGCGTCGGTTTTTGCCGAATGGAACTTGCTGAAGTTTGTTGGCTTCTTCAGAGCTTGACTGAACGCAGGAAGGTCGAGAAGTTTTGTAAAAAGTAATACAGTAGCCTGCGGAGGTTTTTTGGAAAAACTTATCAGTTTGTTTTCGCCGTTTGATAAATATTTTTGTTACATAAATACTTTGAGACATCGTGTTTTCCCTTAACAACATCAGCAGAACTAATTTGAGATTAAATAATCATTACTAGATGGCTGTCATATATATCCGGGACTTAAAAATCCGTATCCAATTTTGGAACTCTATCTGTGTCATGCACAAAGATTCTGAGAAACGTCAGCGGGTTCGATTTGTAAATAGTGTAGAAGTTTCTTTGAAAAAACAAATCTGTTAATTATTTATTTTAGCTTTATCAGGGCATGCCTCTCTTGTTATTAATTATTAATTATTATTAATTATTAATAATCTAATTAATAACAACATCGCATCCAAATAGGTTATTTCATGTGAAATGTTTCCAACCTGTTTGTGATTTGAGGTTGGAGGAACCTATTAACGAGCTAAAAAGGGCTCCCCGAGATCGCGCATGCGCTGGATCGTAATTCCCAATTCAAGTTCTGCGTTCGACGCGTGTACCGAGCGAACGCGCCTCGTAAAAAGTTCCGACGGATCGTCCAACCTTGTCGGACCATAA